CCATATCCTCCATAGCGCCGTAAAACATATCAATATATTAAATGCGGGGAGTAACGCTTTATGCGAGCGATTGCTTCTACTATTATTTATTTTTGGTCTATGAAAACTAGACTACAAGAATGAGTTCTTAACCTTTCCTGTTTTTAAGAAGAATGACAAAAGTCACTAGAAAACATTGTGAAAGATCATTGCTGAACTGTGCATTTAAAATATTTACTAATATCTTCAATAAGAGAGTACACCGGTAAAATATTTAGTATGTAAATTTTGGGATTAAAATCAACCACCGGTTAATGTTTTATCTTTTATCCAAAATTTTTAGAAGTTACGAATCTTTCACATTTTCTGCTTCGTTTTTGTTTTCTTTGATTCTGTAGATAGCGGTAAGATTACAGTAGTTCTGGTTACGTAGGAAGCTTCCAAAGAAGCTTGTCTGACTTATAATGATAATATCACGCAGTACGACATCAAAGGTAATTGTGGCTTTTCCTTTCCTATTCAACATGCAGTTGTTATCATCACTGCACAGCATTTAAGATATTCCGTCATGATGGTTGAATTTGTTACTAATATATCCGCTAAAACTTCTTTTTGTTCCTTAAGTTTATAAGATCAGAGTTGAAAAAACTTTTTATCAGTCATTATTTTTATAATTCTTCAATATCTTGCTCATATTACCTATTTTATTTGTTCGTCTGCATAATCAGAAATATTTTCCGATTATTGGTGGTTTTTGACTGTCCTGTTAAAACTATATATCTTCCACATCTATATCTTTAATTTTGCACTAAAAAAATTAACAATTATAGCTCTGTAGCGCAGAGAATGGATAGTTGTTGTCTTATTTACGTTGTTTTCTAAAAATACGGATTTATCACATATTTATGGTCCAAATAGGTCACCATCCTTTTTGGGAATGCAATGACTTTTTGGTTATTACTTGTAGATTGTTACTTCTCCAGATGTATCAATTGTTTGTTGACATATTCACCATGTAAAACTTTAGCTTCAACACTAAAGAATATTAGATGTAAAAAATCGGAGGATGATTTTGCTGTTGCTTGAGATCTTTATCAGTGTACCTATGTTGTACGCTTTTTCATGGTCAGCCCACTTCAGTTCTTTTGTTAGCTGAATTTAATGTAGATGATGATATAAAACCAAATGCTAAATATGCTATGTAATGGTTAAATTTGGATCCTCTTTAACAGTTTCACTAATAGCAGTCATAATTTCAGCAAACCTTACGTTTTAAAAGAGTTATACGTCCTTAGCAAATATAATATAAATCCAGTTTTTACAAATTTCTTTACAATTTTATCTATACTACGCTCAAATAGACTATTAAGTCGACGATAATCTCTTTGCCAACCACAAAATAGTTACATTGTACGACTTTTTTAGGAAGTATATAGTTATAACTTGTTAAGCTATTGGTAAACAATTTTTATTGTGATATATCATACCTTAAACTAAGCGATTGTTGCCTTCAATGATAGTTCTATTTGACTATAAGATCTCGAAATTCATAACTTGATATATTTGGGGTATGAGGTCGGTAATCGAATATTGTGAAAATAGTGCAAATAATGCGGCAACAATACAACTTATTTCGAGTAGCATATATAAGGAGTCGACGATCCCAAGTAACATGTTTGGTAATTGAATAAAACAGTAACACTTGAAATTACCAACAATACAATAATATATTTCATTGTTGCCGCATTGCACATTCGCTGTTACTCGCTTACCGAGTTCATTACACGAGATCGTGAATACCCCTACTGCTATTTTAGTAAGTTAGTCAAACCTTTTTAATTCGTTTTTAATGACTCCTATTTTTAACTATTACTATTTTAAAATTAACTAATAATATAATAATAATATTTACTTTCGAACAGACGTGAATTTTAACAACAAAATTTTATTGTTCTTAATTAATTCAATTTTTGGCTAACCATATAGTTGTTAGCCAACTGATGATAGGTCTTTTGAAATTATTTCTTATATTTTATTATTCGTTAATAATTTTTTTAAACTGCAAGTACCATGGGTTAAACCTGAACTCTGCCAAGTAATTAATAATATATAATTTATACATATAGGTATATATACCTCCAGCTCAAAAAGTACCCGGATTTTGTAAATAAAACACACAAATTTAAATTTATTGATTTTATTTTATCTCCTTGAAAATATGCACCTTCTGAAGCGATACACATATGCCAACGCTTAACCCAATCTTCATACACTTTTCGTAGGCCCGTGCAGGTATGGCTTTTAGTTCCTTCGGCGAATTCTCTTTTACAGATTCAATCCACTCAAAACGCTTACCACGAAAGGGCAACTTGAGTTTCGGGAACAGGAGAAAGTCGCACGGCACCAGATCTGGCAAATATGGTGCCTAAGCGACGGCAGTGCATTGCTTAATGCACTTGAGGTAGTCTCACATTAACAGCTGCTGTAAACAAACTAATGTACAGATGGCGCTCAAATTTGTACCATATGTCAAGAAAGGATGTACCAACAAAAATTTTAAAAAAAAGATCTATTACTTAAGGAGTAGTTAACGAACAACAAAGTCCGGATACTTTTTGAGCAGAAGGTATATATATATATATATCTGTATACTTTTTCTTTGTGCTCAAAACTGCAGATTCTAGAGCTTTGTCACTGTCACGGCCTTATAACCATAAAAAACCATACAAAGTCATGCTCTCAATATTTGGTTCAATGATAATATCTGGACAACAGTGGTGGGTAACACCGTTGGTATGGTGTTAAAATGATTTTAAAAATTATAGTTTAACCTACCAATATACAATAACCTGACTCAATTAGTGTAAATATAACTAAATAATTGACTAAAATAAAATGATTAAAATAACTCATGTAAATAAGTCAACAAATGAATAAATATAATAATATATATAATATAATAATATTTATTTAAATTAAATTTCAATTATTAGTGTAACTATTAGTTTAGTGATTGAATATAAAATTAAAACATCAAGAAAAGTTTGTAGAAGCAATACTATTCTATAAATCGATACGATTAACTATAGTCACTGAATAAAATAATCGATTGAACATGGACCAGTGGCGTAACTACATTTTTTAGGCCCATAAGCAAACTCTAACTAAGGGCCTCCTAATAACATCTTTTTATACCCTTTACAAGAAAAAGTGTTAAAAGGGTGTATTAGACTTGTCAAGATATTCGTAACGCATTAAAGGAAACGGCGAAAATACCATAAAGTATATATCAGTATATGTGTATATATACTTTCTTAGTTCAAACTACTCTCTCAGCTTTTGAACTCTTCGAATGAAAGTTTACACACATACTTTTAGAGAGCGGTCCCTGTTCACCATTTGGTTTGATTGAAATTGGCCTACTAATTCTTATAGATGTATGTATTTTTATTTTTCCTGACAAATTTTTCCAATCCCGAAATCCAGAATACCATTGATTTGTTTGATTAGAAAATAACCAGCACGGCTTACAATATACTGAATCCAATAACTTTAAATATTATAACCAAAGTCGTGGCACTGTTCCATATTTTGTTTTTAAATTAATAGTATAAATAGTATGAAGCATTGAAACTTCTATTTTTTTGAATAGGATCCTTTAAAGATTTTCTTGAAATTACAAATTCAACATTGTTCAAAAACCAAAATTTATGTTATTTCAACAAAAAACGTTTTGTCCCACATTTGAGAATTTATTAAAAATAAATATAATGAATACATAAATTTATAATGGGGCCCCCTAAGTTCGGGGGCCCGAAAGCGTTGCTTTCAGTCGCTTCCCTGTAGTTACGCCACTGACATGGACTGGTATTATAATTTCCTGACTGCATTACTCGAAGTCGTGAATACTTCTAAATAAAAAAATATCTTGGAACAGTTAATGCAAAATACTAATGTAAATTATTTATTCAATATCATCTGAAGTTATTTTTTAGTCGTCTTCCTTAACACAATAATTTATTAGGTATTGTATATTGAGAGTTCTACACAAGTTAGTATTAATTTAAATTGATTTAGAATGATGCCTTGTAATTTAATTTCAACGTCATTGGTGGTTTCACAAATGCAGATAAAACACTAATTACAGCAATATTCTCTATGTATCCCTTCAAAGGGCACCAGAGTGCATCGTAAATTAACTGCCACATACCATACTTACTAGTTCAATAGAATACTAATTGTCTTAAAATAATAATTAATTGAACATATATAATTTACTGTATCGACCTATTGGTGATGCCATCATATCCTGCATTTATTAATAAACAGGATACGGCCTTTATGTGGAATGCTAAATTACATTCACAAATGGGCATGTGACTTAAGTGCAACTGCAAATGCTGCACTTTCATTAGGCGAATAGATATTGCACTCAGTTGGGAGTAGGGAAGTGTGTGCGTAGTACTTTAGTAATATGTAACTAAATTGATTCCACACTTCAACTGCAAATTCCTATCAGTTGTTAAATTACATATTCATTAAGTGCCTGACAACAAGAAGATAAATGAATGAGCCAGCAGTGCATCTTTTCTGTGTTTCTGCCGACGAATACAGTGCAGTCGAACCGAGCTGTAACCCATAAATGCACTATGAGAAGTTCTACTCCGGCTTGGCATATGTTGTGTTGTCTTTTGAAATTCCAAAATTAAAAAAAAGAAACTAAAATTCCACAAAATGTGTTTATGGATATTTAACCATGTGTGAAGTGCCTTCAAGTGGTTGCATTATTGAACTGCGTCAGTATTTGATGCGCTACTGATTGAAGCATAACTAATTCTGTTGTTGGTTAATTTGTAACAATTTGCCTCTTGAGTGAGATCAAAGAAGCTTGACTGATAGTTATAAGTGTTTGTCTTTGATATTGGATGTACTTCATTTAACTAATAGTTTTGTTTTCACACAATTTGCTTTACGTTTTTTTTTATTTATGTACAATAATTTGTTTATTTTTTATTTTACAGATCAATACAAATGGCATACTGACTCTCAATGTTGAATTTTCCGACTTTATTAATCAACCATTCCCGCTGGAGTATCCTTCAATAGCACCATTCTATTCGAATGTGGATACCACAGATGCGAATTGGAGCTCTAACATTTCCATATTCGAGTCGGTAGATGGGGATCAGTTACAGAAGGCGACTGATTTGGTGCATTATGCATTTAATGATCATGAAGCATTCCATGCTGACCGATTAATTGTTGGAACTTGGCAAAACGTTGGTTATTTCGATCGAAAAACAGATAAATTAAACACTTTTCAGGTACAAATAACAATTTTTTATTATTTAACAACAGTGAAAAGGGAGTATGCAATTATAATTCAAAATGATGAGCCATCACTATAACATTATTTTGTTATTTTTGCACAATAATTCAATAGTCTTACAGTCAAGCTATAATTAGCTTAGTAGTTTTTAATAGATACGCGTATACATTATGAAAGTATTTTAAACATTGCGTCTACATTGGCTAGACTTTGGCAAGTAATTTTCAAGTTAACACAGAGTTTTTTGTGATAAAATTTGAATAAAAATACGTATTCACTTTCGAACATAAAAAACTTGCCAAGCGAATGCAGACATTCAAAAAGTGTTCGAAATCATAATGTTCGAAGAATTCGAAAATACTTGAATTCAAACAATTGTTCGAATATGTTAGAACTGTTGAAATACTTACTTTAAACTCGAATACACTCGAATTCTAACATTTGTTCGAAGATGTTCGAACAGTTCAAAGAGTTATTTTGGTCTATCTTTTTCTTTTTTTTCTTATTGTTTTATATAAATACGCATAATATTAAATTTTCGAACACTGCTGGAGTGCTGTAATCGGGCGTAAGCAAATTCGTTTGCTTAAAATGCTCAAATTTTTATACAGTACAAATAGTATTCGAAACTCTACTTTAAAAGTATTTTTCTAGGTCGCTATAATAGTAAATAATGAAGAGACATTTGTGCAATTTATTTATCCTGCTGGTGGGCTTAATTGGTTACATGCTGAAACAGGAGATCTAGGTTTACAAGACATACGTGCCCAAGCTGGTTTTATATCTGAAGACGGACGTGTATTTCATTTGACTGGTTCAGGCACTGATAATGTAAGTCGGAACTAATTCTGCTAACACAAATTAGTAATTTAAATGTTTTATTTATAGGCAAGACATCTAAATGAAGACTCTAATGTTGGAGTGCCCGGAGTTTGGGTCTACCGTGTCGGATCTTTGACTTATACTGAAAATGTGCAGGACCCCACAAATACTGACACTATAACTGAATTACCTATTCATGAAACTTGTGCTGATGGCAATTACAGATTTTGTCACTCGAATGCGCTGTGTGTTGACAAATCTGTTGGCTTCTGTTGCGTTTGCAAAAATGGTTTCTACGGTAATGGACACAGTTGCATTAAAAATGACTATCCAATAAGAGTTACTGGAACATTGTCTGGTCAAATTAATGGTGAAACTATAGATGAGCGTTCTAAATTGCAATCTTATGTAGTGATGGCTGATGCCCGCAGTTATACCGCAATTAACCCGATAAGTAGTGAACTTGGTGCTAATATGCGTCTTGTATTGCCGATTGTTTCTACAATTGGCTGGCTTTTTGCTAAACCAGTTAATGATGCTGTCAATGGCTATCAATTGACTGGAGGAGAATATTTCCATAGCTCAAAACTACATTTTGAAAGTGGTGAAGTTCTTTTTGTAAATCAAACATTTGAAGGGTTAAACTACTGGGATCAGTTGGCAGTAAGAATTGTTATACATGGCGGAGTTCCAAAGATCAATCACCGCGCAACGCTACATATGGCAGATTATATAGATGAATATAGATTTGTGTCGCCAAATGAATTACGTTCCGTTTACGCACATACATTAGAAGTTCCAGAAGAGAATCGTGTGATTAACTATCAATTGGAGCAGACCATACAATTTGATAGCTGCCTATTAGATACAGATGTCGACCCAACAGATACAAATGTTTTGCAAAAGGTTTCAAAAATTGTTTTAGGTTACAATGAACGTGATCAAGCTTTGCGTACTAGTGTCTTAACAAAAATTGGTGTCGATGCCGAGTCCAATGCTTGTACGGATGGTAGTGTTGAGTGCGGCGAAAACACAGTTTGTGTGCCATATGAGGATACTTATCGGTGTGATTGTTTGCATGGCTATAGTCCTGCTGTCAATGATAATGGGTTAGAAAGTTGCGTCGATATTGATGAATGTGCTTTGAACATACATGTTTGTGATGAGAACGCGTTCTGTAGCAACACTGATGGAGGTTTTCTCTGCGTCTGTTTGGAGGGCTATGAAGGTAATGGCTATAAATGTTTAGTTAATGGAACAAGTGACAATAGTGAAAATTCAACACCTGTTAATATGGAAACTCGCGAGCCAACTCATAATGAGCACGGCGTTTATTCAAATGAAAGACAACAAAACGAAAATCATCAAGATGAAAGACAACCAGAAGAAAGACAACCAGAAGAAAGGCAACCAGAAGAAATGCAACCAGAAGAAAGGCAACCAGAAGAAAGACAACCAGAAGAAAGGCAACCAGAAGAAATGCACCCAGAACATAGCCATACAGATGAATGTAATGTAAGTTTCCATTAATATTCAATTATGTTATAACTTCAAAGCTTCTTGTTATATGTCATAACTAACTATCTTGCACACAAGTTGATGTATATTCTTCGTAAAATTGATGTTTTGATTTATTTTTTAGCGTTGTTCCATAAATGCTGATTGTGTTGAAGGACATTGTGAGTGTCGTTACGGATTTTCAGGCGATGGCTTTATGTGTGGTAACAACTGTGCACACGATTATGTTTGGGAAAATGGACGTTGTGTGCCTATTTTATATGATACCCACGATATTGAACCTCAGTGTAATTTTATGGGTGACTGCAACTGTCCACCTAATTATGAACTGATTGAAGAGCAGCAAGTGTGTCGATTTTCTAATTATGCCTTACCTGATATGAAATCAGATGAGCTAGGTAGGTCTTTATTTTAAAGAGTTATAAATCTAAAATTTTAAAAACGTTTTTATATACAAATTTTAGTGCCTTGCGATGTAGACTCTAATTGTCATGCAAATGCTACCTGTGAATGGTATGAGCACGAATTACGACACGTTTGTACTTGTAATCCCGGGTTTAATGGTGATGGCTATAGGTGCGACATATTAGATGATTCCTGCGCAACTGTAAGTAAACCATATAAATCACATTGCCTTCACTATTTTTACGCATACAATATTCTATATTCATTAGAATCATGATTTATGTGATCCTCACGCTGTGTGCAACTACAATGAAGATATTGAAAGATCTGAATGTCAGTGCCAGCGTGGGTATGAAGGTGATGGTTTTCGTTGTCAATTAGCACCAGAATGTGCCGAAGATTTTGATTGCGGACAGAATTCTTATTGTGATGGAGGTGTTTGTCAGTGTACCACCGGCTTTGAAAGAGATATTTCAGATTTTTGTGTACCTGCTGGACGATGTGGATCTGTGTTCTGTGGCGCTAATGCAATTTGCAAATGGGATGCTGTAAAAAGCATACAATATTGTGATTGCATGGAAGGATATGAAGGCGATGCACTTCAAGGTTGCAAAAGTATTCCAATTCCTTGCAATGTGCGCAATAATTGTGGTGTACATGCTACATGTGTACCTACGGAGTAAGTATAAATGAAGAGGTTTCTAGTGAAAGAGAATAATATTACTAAATATATTTTTAGAGACCCAGCTAGATATGAATGTCAATGTATTGCTGGATATCATGGTGATGGTTATGTGTGCATTGAGGAACAAAACTGTCTGAATACTCCACATATGTGTGACATGAATGCCAAATGTTTGTCTACAAATACAGGTCTAATTTGCGTATGCAATCAAGGTAAACATTTCAAATAATATATTAGATTTCTTATTTTAATTGTTTACAGTTATCAGAAAGTTATTCAATCATTTTTGTATATATATTCTTAAAAAATAGTGTCACTTACCAGTATAAGTCGCTCCACTGACTTATTTTCCAATTTTTGTTGTCAAACTGAGTGATAGCGCAAGCTGCGTTCGTTCAAGAAATGTTTTTCATTCTTCGGGGACTTCCTAGTTAATAAAATTAGTTTTTAAAATTTAGATTATATTAGCACTTACTTCATTTTCGTTCGAAACTTTTCGGGTTCCATCACGAGAGTAATTAGAACACAGCAAATAACCAATAATGGCAAGGACAAGGATCAAATTAATATAGCCATTGTTTTTCTCCCATGTGTAAGGATGTGCAAAGAACTCTTTCATAGCACCCCAAGTGGATATTGTGTAACCACATCTTTTGCCACCACGTCCACCACAAGATCCACCGCAGTGTTGTGAGCTGTAACTGGCTTTATAGTTCATTTTTGATTTCATAGGGGAAAAGGGTTTCAACTGATGTTCTGTAAGTTCAGCCAAAATTTTGTGACGTTGTAATTGTAGTTTTTGTAATTCTGCAGTAAGGGTTGCAGTTGTAGTAACTCTACGTTTCGGTGGAGCAACTGCGGCTGACCATGTTACCGTTATGGGCTGAAGACATGTTTTAGTGCCAAAATTTCCACAAGTGGCATATGGCAACATTTTTAATAAATACCGACGAAACATTATATCTGCCGCAGTTCCCAGCCGAAATTGAAAAAAAAACAAAAAAGAAACGAAAATTTTGAAATTTTGAATTTACAATTTTTGGTTTTTACATTTTAGGTTTTGATTTAAATATTTTTCTGAAAGATTTAAAAAGTTCTTGCATAGATTGCTAGTTCAAGTCAAATTGTTTGAATAGGATATTTTATGTTTTTGTATCAAATAAACTGCTATCAACTAAGGAAAGCTTTTAGTCCCATTCAGAAAAGTACATGCGATCTGCTGTTAGCCTTTCTCAGACCCTAAACATTAATATCGTAAAAACGAGATCAAAATTCCTATATACTATCACATAAGAAAGAAATATTTTCCTGAAAATATTAATATTAGAATATGAATACACATTGATATACATTTTTAATATAATAATATATGTATTATTGTTTTTAGGATTCTATGGTAACGGATCAGTTTGCCTCGAGCGACAACAACATGACTCTGGATTTTTGTTAGTAAGTCAAGGAGTAGTAATAGTTCGTGTTCCATTGAATGGTAAAAATGTGCGTCCAATATCTGTCGCTTCAATGGCTATTGGATTGGATAAGGATTGTGTTGAAGGTCGTGTATATTGGGGTGATATATCAGCAAAAAAAATAGTCAGTGCAAAATATGATGGCACTGATATGCGCTCATTTATTACTGAAGGTAACACCTTTATTTTAATATCTCAACAATTTATTTTTATTTAATAAAACAAAATAAAATTGTTATAATTTTAACAATCTAAAAAAAAAACAAAATTGTTAATGATATAGTATTACATATTTAATATAAAAATTTGCAGATGTAGAATCACCGGAAGGCATTGCTATTGATTCTATATCACGTCGTATATATTGGACAGATTCAGTAAAGGATACTATTGAAGTGGCTAGTTTAGAAGATCCTACTTTACGTGCAGTAATTGTTAGTAAAAATTTAGTGAATCCACGAGGCATTGCTGTTGATCCTTTCAGAGAGTAAGAATTTCACCAATTTTTTTTTATTTATATATAACTTATATTTATTTTTATATACAGAAAATTATACTGGTCTGACTGGAATAGAGAATCACCTAAAATTGAAATGTCTGATTTGGATGGTACTGGTCGTGAATTGGTTTTGGGCAAGGATAGTGTCACTTTACCGAATTCATTAGTTGTACTCGAGAATACTGGGGAATTGTGTTTTGCTGATGCTGGTACCAAAAAAGTTGATTGCATTGATGCATATTCCAAACAACTACGCACAATTTCAAATGAATTAACCTATCCATTTGGTCTTTCCTTCATGTATGATCAATTCTATTGGACTGATTGGACAACGTAAGTTTGTTAATATTTTCGATATTATTGATTAATTAATATTTCTGTGATAATTTTATATTTTCAGTAAAAAATTAGAAAGTGTTGATAGTCTTGGTAAACGTCAAAAGGGTATGCAAACTCCATTCTTTGGCAGTCATAAAATGTATGGTATGGCAGCAGTTGATAATAATTGTCCTCAGCAGGGCAGTCCATGCCAGATAAATAATGGTAATTGTGCCGATGCTAGAATTTGCTTATCAAATCGAAAGGCACCATCTGGAAAGAGTTGTAAATGTACTAGTCTATCGAAGACATGTACCGCTCCACAATTTGGTATACAATATTAGTGGGTATAATATACCTTCTATTAGCACAAAGTACTTTTAAATTTGATTGTAAGAAAGTAAGAAATTTTTTAAACTGTTTTATGGTATCAAAACTGTATGCAAATCAACCAAAGTTAATCCAAAAAATGATTTATTTTATTTTATTTAAATTTTTTTTTTATTTATAAATGTTTAATATTTATACTAAATGTAATACTACAAAGTATCAAAATAGATTACTTCTGGTGCCATGATTAATGAACACATATTTCTGTAAATTAAGTGAAAATAAATTAACGTATTTATATTTTGTTAACACAAATGTTTTTTTTTTAATATATTATTAAAAGTTTTCACAATATCATTAAAAATAATGAAAGCAAAAATCTTTGAAGTTGGTCATATATATACTGATATTTACGCATTAACTACGTTACACTTAATTTTTTTTTTTTTTGAAATCCATTTATTTTATTACAATCTGTCAGGTATGAGTGACAATAAGTAATATGTATAATTATAAATCGTAATAATAGTTATTACGATCTAAAAAAAAGAAAGGCACGTATGGACTATGCCTAGTGACATATCCATATATATTTAAAATAACAGTGTGTAATCTACATATACATATCTAAAATATCTCTCGATGTTTTTCTTCTCAGCCTTGTAAAAGTGTTAGAAGGGGACATCAGATGTGTAACCAGCGGGTTTGGGTGCATATATATGCGATGAGCGTAATTCTTTAAAATACTGGCTATTACTTCCTTGATTGTCCGAACATGGAATTGTTTATGCAGCTGTTCATTCGTTATATACCACGGTGCATTTGTTAATAAAAGTTGCTCAAATCACCCTCGACGGAAATGATTTAAATGGAATATAAGAATAAAATACATTCCTTATCTTTTATTTCTACCACTTTTGTAGTTTGTAACTGTAACTTTTAGTATAAAAAGTTTTATAAAGGATTCCTTATAAAGACATCATACTTTGTACAGAAAAAAATATGAAAAAGGTATATTACATTCGTCAAGTTCTATTTATTGCTTTGAAGGAAACGTCGTAGACAACATAAAGTGTATATATAATTGATCAGCTCGATTAGTTTAGTTCGTTTAGCCCTGTCCATCAGTCTATTTGTTTCAGTTCAAGGTAGTCCCACAGTTTTTGAGCTATTCGAATGAAACTATGCACACATAGTTTTTGGCAGTGGAGCTTAATCATATGTGGTATTGGTGAAAATCAAACCACTCTATCCTATAGCTGTCATACGAATTGAATAAACGGAAATAAGTTTTTCCATTTTTAATAAATACATTCCAAAAAAATTTGGTTCTTAATGTGATTATATTCATATAAGTGAATATACTAAGCTTTATTAATTACAGTTCAAATTTAGATATAGCTGCTATATACACAGTCAATTCAAAAACATACTTTTGTTAGAAAAACTTTTTTATTAAAATTTTAAATTTGAAATTTTTGTCATAATTTATAGAATACAACTTGTGTAATAAAAATTGAGTTGATCGGCTAAGATTTAAATATAGCTCGGCTATAAACCGGCGATCAAGAAACATGTTTTTGTTAGAAAAAAATTTTTTTTTGCAATATTTTTTTAATCAAACCCGATCAGTGGTTTGCTGTCATCAGTTAGTAGTATGAAGCTCCCTCAAATCGTTGGTCACCTGGTCCTTTCAATGCGAACCTCCTCTACCGCGTTTTTCACCTACGGGTACCTGAACAAACACGTTTTCAGCCGGAGTACTTTCTTCTATTCGCGAAGCCGCTGTATGCGGCTGTATGTATGAAGCCGCTGTATGCACGAAGCCGCTTTATGCGCTTAACTATGTCAATGCCGCGGTATAGCTGATACAGCTAATCGTTCTATCTAAATTGATAATCGTTACTACCGCGTAAGGGACTATAGATCTTTTACATTAAGCAACTATAAACTGCACCTATTGTATTTATATAGTAAATGCAAAAAACTAGATTAAAATTTGTAGGAAATTTTATTTTATTAATTCTCAGTTAATAGATTTATTTAATTTTTTAAATAGATTCATATTTTATATATTATGCATAGCACATATCCTTGTATATTAACAGTTAAATTTTTTGCACATAATCAATTATAAGTATTTACATATACAATTTATTGGATAGTTTACACTTTCTCTCAATTTTCTGTTATAAACATTATTTGCATATATGTTAAATATATATATATGTAGCATATATATAATTCTATTACTACAATTATTTTTATTTTTAATTTTTATATTGTACAGATATTTCTTCGTATGTTAAAACATTATTTTTAAAATTTTTATTTTTTAATTTGAAATAATATCTAAATTATCAGTTTGTGTGTATGCGATTAATTTAAAGCTAAGGAAGTGCAAAAATAATTTTTTAAAAACTACTTTGATTTTTTTTTGAATAAATTTTTTAAAAATGTCTCAAAGAAGCGCTTTAGAACGTTACACGATATCAACAGCGAAAGTATTTCTTCAAAATTAAAAATTCCGTCAATAAATGCGATTACGCACGAGACTCAAATTAAGGCATTAAAATTAACTTCACTAAAATTCTCTTTATATTATATATAAACATATATATATTTATATATATATAAATTTTATTAACTATTTGTATTATATATTTCAGATTTCTGAAATTTCTGCTACTACATATATGCTAACTTATCCTTAATGTTTTTGGTTCGATTCCCATGTTTAGTTTATTCTATACATAACCATAAACAATTCAAATTTATATGTCTATGAAGTAACTAAAAACCTAATGTATCTTAACGATCGTTTACTACATATTTTAACTATATATGCATATATTATATACTATATACTATATAATGAAATTTACAGTTTATCGAATTTAATTCTTAAGCTACAGTTTTTAGTTTTTGTAAAGCATTTACAGTATACCAAAGCGTCTTTTTATTCAGTTTTTCAATTTACAAAGTTTTTGAGTTTGATATATGAAAAACGTAATAATATTATACAATTATATTTTGTTTTTATTTTGTTAAGAAAATATGATTTTATAAAAGATATAAGAATTTTAAAATAAATCAAAAATAATATAAGGCCTGCTGTGTCTTGAACTTAATGTATATTCCTTCTGACTTCGATGGAGGAATATTGGATTGTGTAAGTAATTTATGAATTGTTATTATAAGAATGACTTAAGTTATTTCTTTCAGATACTTTCTTCTCAAATTAACAAAATCAACTCAAAAGTCGTAAATGAAAATATTCTTAAACAGTCTCAATTAATAATAACATATAAAAGTAATGTAACAAAAAAATTGCAAGTTAATTTGTTATAAAAGTTTAAAATGTTTAAATTTAATTAATTTGATTTTAGTTTTAATTTTAAATTAAATTTTATTTTCAATTTAATTTTAATTTTATTTTCATTTTGATTGAATATTATATATATATATTCAATATTAATTATAAATAATTTAAAACCAAAGTACTAGTAAGTTCAGAAGTGTATTATTATAGTTATACATATACACATATATATATATATGTATTTATATGTTTATTATTTCAGTCTCTCAGAAGCATTCTTCAATGTAATGAAACACTTAATCGATGGCCTAGTTTGGGAGAAAGTGTGGATAAAGAGTATAATATCATAAGTATATTGCAGATGGTTCTGAGGGTATCATACACCTTTTCTTTTTTTAAAGGTATTTAAATTTTGCCATGTCAACTATATTATATCAAAGTAATGTATCTGTACTGCCCGCATAACTAAGAATGTTTTTAATTTAATTAAATTAGTTCTCTCGTGGTGAAGTCTTAAGTTCGCCTCTAAACTCTATTAAACTATTAAGAAAATTAACTTAAAACAATTGATTTACGAGGTATAATATAAAAAAAGTTGCACCCATTAAATTATAATAAAAACAATATATTAATATATACAATAATAATATAATTATTTGATAACTAAATAAATAAGACAACTCTTTGAAATGTAGTCAGTACAGAGTCTGTTCAATTGCAGATATTTGTATATTTTAATAAAAAAATTTTTTTTTTAAATAACTATAAACCCTCTCATTTTACTCATGCATACAGCTAGAACTCAACTTAGCATAAATATATATACAAATTGAACTAAACAATAGTCGTGAAGCTAACTGTACTAAAAGAATTGTACTATAACTGAAAGAAAAATTAGAAACTCAACAAAAAATGATATAAAAATGACTTTCTAGCAGTTTTAAAAATTGAAGAATAAACCTTTAGGTATTTAGATTAATATATTTCTCACAATTAAAGTTAATTAAATATAAAACTCTACGAAACTCTACTCTCTAAAGAAGGTTGAATACCTTTGAATTAATAGTTAATTTATTTTAAACTGTATTTAAAGTAAAGAAATAGTAAAAGATATATTTATAAAAGGTATATGTATCATAATTCTCTCTTGTCTCTCTCTTGAGTCTCGCTTGTCTGTTTTTGATCTATCACTTGTGTCTATATATAAAATATTAAACTAATAATAATAATGAGAAAAGTTGCAAACCATCAAAAAGGTAGACTATTACATCCCGATAAGAGATGGGATTAATGTTTGTGAAAATATATAAGTTTTATCGTGATTAAATAATTTATCGCGTTAATCTAACTGCATAATCATAATACTTTATATATAACACCGTATATAAATAACACAATAAGCAAGTATATTTTGACAAATCTATAAACCAAATTGGTAAGGTATGAAGCGGAGTCTGAAATAATATATAATATATTATTACAATGAATTTCATACTGAAGTTCATTTATTTTTTTTTATACATGGATATATTATCAAAGGGTACTATATCGAATTCAACTATAACATATATAACAGGACAAATATTACAACCTCGTCTAACTTAATGAACTGCTTACAGAAACAAAAATAATGAACAAAGACTAATATATGATTCAAAACAGATACTGTCTACAAAAAGTTCTAACAGGGACAGTCGGCATATTCCCAGAGACTAATGTAATGTATATGTTAGATAATTTTGTTAAATGTGAAATTCAAAAAATGACGTGGCGCTTATATTAATTCTCTTAATAATTCATTAAATAATTTATTAATAAATTCTATTATACTTTTATGTGTCTAATACTTAATAATTGCGGCTTATTTATGCATTTTTAAATTAATTAAAAATCAGTTTTGAAATTTTGCTATGCTACTGTAGTGTTAAATAAATGAAACAAGCACCTAAATTAATTTTGCTAATTACAAATTGTTAGTGTAATTAATTAAACTTATTTTAAAGCAAAATAGAATTTTGCATTATCATATACTTATATATAATTTATTAAAATATATATATTTAACTCGATATGATATATAATGTCATATATATCTTGTCGAGATTATTTTGATGAATTTATTTTTATATAACTTAATTAATATATCAGTTTTGCATATTTATTCATTTTTTTATTTACAGATGAATATTTCCTTGTATCTCAATTTAATAGATTAATAGCTACGTTTTTGTTCCCAAAACACTTTTTTCTTTTTTAGCAAAAAAATTCTTTTATGCATACAAAAAATTGAAAATTTTTATACAAAATGTGAAAATATAATTAATAAATTAAATATTAATTGCCTATATACAAATATTTACATACTCGATTTAATTCCCAATTTCAGAGTATGAAATATGTACATTTATATACTCGTATATAACTATTTATACTATAATACATATGTATATGTAAATAAAATTATTTCAGAGCAAACAAAATTTTATCTTAATTCTATATAATGACTTTCTTAATTAAATATAAATAGTAATTGAAATAATTACTACGTTATTATAATTATTAATCGTTGATAAGCAAAATTGCAGAAACAAAAACTCTCCAGACACACTCTACACACAAAATTATTAACCATCATTCTTCCTCATATTAAAATAATATCTAGTTTAAGAACTACTTACATACATATTTTTACATACATACAGCTAAATAGCATAAAACTATATAGTTTCTTTTAAATAAATTAACATAGTTCACGTAAACTTACAATACAATACAATATAATAATTTATATCCACTTGTTTTTTTTTGATATTGAAGAGCGGAGCCTGCGACCCCACATTAGGTTGTATCATACGATTGTACCCTGTAAATGTTGCGGGGATTGCATTTGTGCGGCTTGCGTCTGATCTTGTGGAACCTGCAGTGGCGAATTGTTGCCTAGATCAGCTGTATTGATTGCCAAATTTGAGCCGCTGACCAATGAGGAGCCACCCAGCGCTGAAGGATTTATGCCACCGCCAGCTCCACCAGCTACAATACAAGGTACTCCTAGTATCGGCGTGGGTTCTTCGGGTGGTGTTACCTGTAATGATATATGGTTCTTTTGGAATTTTTTGTTAGTAAATTCAGTTAAAAGAGTATTATAATTATTCTGCTGTTAAGTGGAGCCTCAGGTCACCATTTTTTTGGGGTCAAATATTGGAATTTATATATATAATAATAAAATTAAATAAAAAATCTATATCAGTTATACCCTTAAGTATATTAAAGAAAACGACATCATTTTATCTAAATGTATAAAGTGCTATATCAAAAGGAATTAAAACTATAGCTAATATTATATCAGAGTAAGAATAATATTATTGCTTGCCAAGTTAATGCCAGAACAAAAGACAAATAGTTCTCAAGAAGTGTTTGAGTACCTTATAATTGAGGTTTCATCTATAACCTTTTTGAATGTACAATACCAATTCATTAATTGGGCTTTAGAGCTAATCACTTTACAATTTAACAGATGCATACAATACATCACCAATACAATTAAAAAATGCATTGGAGATAAACAATTTTGCTCTGCCGTGTTCCCTGATGTTGCTAAAGCGCTTCATAAAGTCCGGCATGTGGGAATCATTAAAAAAGTTAGAGGTATCCCTCCAACTGACTATTATGAAATCTTAGAGTTATACTTGACTGATCGGTATTTTCGTATTAAATTTGAGAATAATTTTTCCGAAGTAAAATCTATAAAAGCAGGCATCCCATCAGAAAACATACTTGGTCAGGTCTTGTACTTGCTATACACCTCCGATACTCTCACGTCAGAGAACTTCATTATTGCTACTCTTGCTGACGATACTGAAATTCTTTCTTTTGCTAATACAGAATCAGAATCAGTGATGCGGCCGCGATGCCGTACATAAAATTGTCAATTGGACAAAAAAATTGTGTCGTTGCATAATGCTCAAAGAGTTCAATAAAGCCTAAGATTCTTTTTAAAGAGAGATCTTCCAAGAAAATGCTGGACTAAGAAAATGCTAGCTTACTTAGTCCTGAACAATGTAAAACCAGATACAAAATTCTTTCGTTATCTTTCTTACAGTTGTGGTAGGGATAATAAAGAGAGCATACAGACTCGTAGGATGGTTTCTATAGGCAATATATATATGTCTATTAGGATATTGTGTGTATTTCAGCAATTAATTACTAAGAGAAATACAATTTATTTTCGACCATATATTGTGTGATAGACATTATTTTTCTTATATTAGTTATGCTAATAATAATATTTTTAACAAATAAAAATGTCTATAATAATGAAGTTACTGTTAGAAAGCAGTTGCTAGTTATTGGATTTCCGTTGACTTTTCATTCCTTCCAAATTAAATTTTGATATGTAACGGATTAACGGATTAAGTTGACGATTAGAAAGACGTTCAATGAGTTTTTAAAACATAGGTAATAACCATATAATATATTATTGGTATGTCTTCAGAAGTTTAAAATCGACCGTGTTGCATTAAATTATTTGCTTTTAGTACTTATTCAACTATTCCTACTATGTATTATTTCGGATCTTATTTTACTAGCTTTCTTCAGTTATCACTGTTATCGTTGATATCATTATTAACAGTTATCACAATTATTCACTTGATTATGCAGATTCATGAATAATATTAAATATAATTATTCTCTTGATCTATAATAGAGATTAAATCTGTCTATTTATATTATTTTGTTAAGTTGGTACGATTTATCAGACTGATTAGAGTAGAGTTTTCAAATTAAATAAGAATGTAAGTGGTATCAAGTTATACAGTTATTACATTTGGTATGAAATTTCGGTGCATGAGATTTTAATAGACCTAGGCCTGCCAAAATAACAATGATGTGGAGTTAATTAAATTTAAAGTGAATATTAGTGCTATATTTGGCATCACATTTGTGTAGTAAAAATCAATTTCATTCAGCACTTCAAAGTTCTTATCATTTTTCTATAATGAATAGAAATTCTACTTACAAAATCTGGGGAAAAGGTGTAAATAAATAGCCCTATTACCTAGAATTAAGCACTATAAAATATTGTATAACTCAAATACAAATTTATGTTCCACTAAGTACAGCAGTTGGAATACATATAGAAGTCAATAGCTTAAAGTTTATATTTAATGAGTGTGCTTACCTCTAGTCCAATACTGCCATTAAGTGCTATTTTAATGGGGTTTGTATGATTTGTGGCCTGCATTAGTGTAGTGAAGTGACTAATGCCAATTTCTTCCAATGACGACTTTCGTCGGCCATGACTTACACCCACATTGGGCAGGCCTTGACGCAACGACGAAGAGCGACGTAGTAATATATCATTATCAATCTGTAAGTCAAATAAATGGAACAAAAATTCACACAAATTTTTAATATAACAAATTTGGCGATATAAAAGTTATTAAGAAAGAACATTAAATATTATTAAACACAAGAAAACAACATGATGCAGATACGGATGCGTTGAAGTCCTGTGGCAGCACATACTTTGCCGTTGAGCCACTTTCCTAACATTGAGCGATTTGATATCTGGTCGGATGTGCACTTGATCGATTATGGTGTTGGTGGTGATGCAAGTGAGGCAAGTGATGTACATTATTGATGTGGTTGAATAGTCAAGCGATAGGTAAAAAAATCAAATGGTGTTGGGACTGTTCTACGAGTTGTGATTGGTGTCGATTTTTATGGGTGGCTTCAATTTACAGTTTATTGTTAACTTTTGTTTTTGTTAGGTTTTGCCAATTTTATAAAAAAATATTTGAGTGCTTTACATAGTGTGAGAGTAGAAATGGTTTCGCCAATTCTTAAATAAATTCAAAAAACAACAAAGGAAAACACATAAAGTGCTGAGCATCTACTTTATTTTAAACTATGACCAAAACATATATTTAATACTTATATCGCACCTTCGGAATGTAATATAAGCATTAATTAATGTTAGTGTTATATATTTCAGAAAATAAGGATAAATGCTCTGCTTAAAATACAAATGCACTTAACATCAAGAAACAGCGTTCAAATACAAAAACAAATATAAGTGTTAGATTTGAAAAATACGAAAGGAAAGTAAAACATAAATTGATAGAGAAAATGGAAATGTAAACTATAGCCAACCCGCAATGAGTTACTCCTTCCTCGCTGTGAGCCAACAACCGTCGGACTGTCGGGTAGAGAAAGAGAATTGGATTTAATTTGTTGTATTGGCGGCGTGCAGCGTGGGGAACCATACCCGGCCAACGTCTGAACGCTCTGCATCTGCATTGGGTTGAGTCCTGCAATGCCCGATCCACGCCGAGACCCTGCACCAGCTCCAGCATTCGGTCCGCAAGCGCCACCCAAATTGATATTGGAACAAAAAGATATGTTAGATTTGCGTCTTGAATTATGCCGCTCAAAGGTCTTCTGCGCTGAGAAAGGTGATGGGCGCACCAAGTAACTATGGAGAAAAAAAGTGTAAGTTAATTATAGTATTATTATTATTAGTTCAGATATAACATATAACTTACATAACGTCACCCTCCTCCAGTTTTAGATCACAGCTCGGATTAATTATTACATAGGATAGATGATTCCGCTTTTCGCTCACGTCATCGTAGTCAATAGTTGGCAAATTCAGCGATTCCATGCGGCTTCGTACCAGATTAGCTATCTCTGCTCTCTCGATCTGCTGTGCATGATTGTCTCGTGCCTCATCTGCCAAGTTGATGGAGTACTGAAATAGCATGGAACACTGCTTTACGATTAGTTTGCTGAGTTGCTTGTGCTGAATTTTCTTTTTGCAACTTAATACGATTTGGTTATTTTTACAAAAATAAAAATGAAAACTTCTCTAAATGTTCAAAATGCTTTCAGTTGAAATGAAAAGTCTACATTTAATAACATTCAATAAACAGAATTCATTCCAGTTGGTGTTATGCACATTCAATTGAAAATTTTCAACGAATTGGAAAAATTTTGATTTCGTTTTCATTTTTAATAAATTTAAATAAATTTAAGAACTTGATCAATTCATGTGCTTGAAGTTTGTTATTTTTATTTTATTATTTTTACACTAAAAGCAATATGCAAAATTGTTTAGTTCTATTAACAACTAAAATTCATATGTACAATTTTCGTATCTGAGAAGAACCTTTACCACCTACCTTTACGATTAATCTATGTGAGTATGGCTAAAATGTAATGAGCTTTAACTTTGTATTAGTAATTGTTAATTAATGTATATTATTTATAAATAACAGCCATATTAGAGAATGTACCTTAAGATTTCTTAGTTTAAGAGTGATGGCTAATTTATTTTACTGGGCAGAATTAGAATTATATGTATAAAGATCTGATTAAATTTTAAATAACTAGCATTGATCAAGTTTTCTACTCGAAGTAATAATTAAAGAACTTACATACTAATCCAATAAAAGTAGAAAGAAATTTAAAATTAAACAAGTATAAATGTTAACTTGGGCTTTACAGACACATGGATTTGGTATACATAGAATTTAAAATCTATACTGAGGTCTCATTTATATAATAATATATATGTATAACATAATCTAGAACAAACAACATACTTATAATATAATAATTCTAATCAGAGATTCTATAAATTATCTGATAATGTCTCTATTTCGGTAGCTATTAA